TCCACACGGCAGCTAATGCATTTCAATGCCAATGAGTCCAATAGCTAATGGAATGCCAACACAGATCCAATCCAGCACTTATGGCCAACCAGAAAACCCCGGGCAACGTTTAATTTCTAGCTTTGTGTCTGATGTTTTTGCAAATGTAACTAATTACTTAGCTTATATAAGTTTTTTCTGGTTCGTATTTCGGATTCAAGACAATCATATGTTCATTATTTCGGGTTATTGGCTAGTTAGCCTGCAATCAGGGAATTGTTTTCAGAGACTTAACATTGCCGCTGCATATCTGGTCTAAGCCAGTTCCGTGTAACCGAGTAGCGCTTACCTCCAACTAATGGCCACGCCCTTCGTGTGCGAACACTTCATTGCCCTTCTCCCCGCCGGTTTTTCCCCGGGAAACTCTTCCTCCCCCGCCCACCGTTCGCGTGATGCGGAAAGATGAGAGGGAAAACGATTTAAAATAAATAATTACATAGTTAAACCAGCTGCTGCTGGAAGTTGGCTGGCTGGGCGGCTGGGCGGCTGCCAGGTGGCCACGCCCACTGGGCCGGCAATAAAAGTTTATCCCTCAGCTATGACTGAGCATAACGCGGACTCGATTTCAATCTTTTGGTTTCTGCGGGGGAGTCTTGCTCATGTTTATTCAGTGGATTTCCCCCCCTCCTCTCCCTCTTTTTAATCACGGAAAAAAATATTGGTGCGGAAAATGTAGTATTTCCCTGCCACTCGGGTTAATTTTCAACGAATGTTTTTGCGATATATCCGAATTGAAAGAGTTTTAAATTAAAATTCGTCTGTTATAAGATTTCATTTTTGTTTATTTATTTACCCAATGGTTATTTTCAATAGTTTTTCTTTACTATTCAAGTTATGAAATTACCTTCATATCTTTTTCCTATTTCATTAATTTCTTTTGATGACAGGGAATTTCTTTCACTGCATTGAGAAACGGATAGTGTTTTGTTAACAGGCAAAATTAAAACGTAAATGTTTGAAAATTAGATTTCGGCCCCAAGTCGCTTTTGTTTAGTTGGCTTTAGTCTGGCCTTTGCATCTCGCTTTTCCCTATTTTCCCCACGCCCCTTCCCTCCCCCTCCTCCTCCTCCTGCTTTCTTTGTGCTTTCTGTTGTGTGTGTGTGTGTGTGTGAGTGTGTTCAGTGAGGTGTTGCCTAGTTTTCGGCTTGTTAGTTAGTTAAAAGTTTTTGCGTGCAATTAAAATGCTGCGCAAAAAGTTTCCTTCAACATTGTTCTTAATTTTTTCCTTGGTTTTTGCAGTTTGCCAAAGCCAAATACAAATGAACAACTATTGTCTCAGCCCCTCATGTGTCTGTGTGTTAGTGTGTATATGTGTTAGTGTGTTTGTGTGTGTGTGTGTGAGTGTGCGTTAGCCTGCAGCCGGAAAAGTGCGCAAAGTCCTGTGGCAATTGTCTGATTGTTTTCTTAGCCGCAGCAGAAGGAGCAGCATTCGATGGCAGGAAAGTTCGTTATCAGTGACATTTTGGCGTATAAATAGCAAACAGTGAGCACTCCCTAGGAACGCCCAACTCCTGCGGAAGGCCAACCAGTAGTTCGCCAGCTATTGCCAGTAAGCACTTGCTGCACTGAGCGAAAAGTTTGGCCAAGAACCTGAGGACTACTTGGATTTTAGGCAGATTCAAATTGTGCAATTTACCTCATTCTAATCAAGAGCGTACAGTAATAATCTCATTTAAGATTTTTAAACAATTAATTGTGATTCCTAATTTGATACACAGTACAAGTCGTTATCCAATTATATTATATATTATATTAAGGTGAATAAATGTATTGGCTTATAGCTTATCGTATAAGTTAAAATTCAAACCAACTGAGTTCTTCTTAAAACGAAATACAAAATATAATAATATTTTCCAAAATATACATATATCATGTTGAGTTGGGAAACCTTAGGTTTAGTTGATTTATTTATTTTATTTTTTTATTTATTTAGCTGTAATTAAAAGTGGCTTAAACAACTCAGTTATTTCTCGCTGTGCAGCTGCCAGATTCCAGTTAGCAGTTAACAGTTCCCAGTTGCCGTGGCGAACGTGCTGGCAATGTCAATTGAAATGAATATTCTAAGCAGCTGGGCCACAAGCTCCTCCAAGACGAAGGATTCGAAGGTCCTAGGACCCCGAATACCCAATACCGAATACCGAACACCGAATCCCCAGTCTCAATTGAGTTTGCAATTCGTCGATGGCGAATTCGGGGATTTGGGAAGTGGATCTCAATGTTCCGGCAACAAATGCTTCGAGCGGCAGGTTATTTAAGTGAGCGAAATGCAAACAAAATACAAGGATTGCCACAAGGTGAGTATAAATATGCGCTGGTTTCTTTAACGGCTGCTAAACAATGGTTTATTTTCACCTCGGGTTGCTATAAGGCCAGATTCGGCTCATCAACTGGTGATAAATACAAGAGAGCTTCGAAACTGTCATTTCGAAATGACTTCGTTTAACCTCCAGATATGAAATTGCCCGCTGCATTCTGTGCGAAATTAAATCAATTGCTGACCGCAGAGCCGCACGCAAAAAATCTGCGGGAAATATGATTCATGAGTGCGGCGCTGGAAAAGCTGGAAAATATGGAAACGCGACAGAGGAAAGAGCGGAGAGGGGAGAGGGGGTGTGTGCATTTTCCTCCTGCGGCCCTCCCGAAAAACTCGATTCGTGGGGCAACTGACAAAACTAATTGCCTCGGCGGCCGTAAACAAAAAAGGCGAGTTGCGTTGCGTACTTTGCGGCAGTCAGCAGTCAGCAGTCAGCAGTCAGCGAGGCGAATTGAAAATAAAATTCTTAACAAAATAAGCTAAGAGCTGAGGAGTTGCCGAGCGCATTAAATCATTTCCGCACTGCGGAGCAGGCAGATTCTTTTGGCTTGTTCTTGTGTGGCAGTGTGGCAAGTCGCAAGTCGCAAGTTGCAAGTTGCAAGTTGCAGGCAGTTGCAGTTTACCACTATTTATGGCCCGCTGCCGGGGGAAAAAAAGATGAAAAGTGTGTCTCCGGCTCCTCCATTTCCCTCGTGGCAGAAAAATGATTCGCCCGAAAAAAGGAAAAGTATCCTTATACCGCTTACTATATACACTCGCACTCCCCTGCGGATGGATATATACATATAGTACACACAGTCAGTCGTCCGATTAGAGCATTCATGTGTGTGCATGTGTAACATATTCAGGCAATTACTGCCATTCAGCGCATTTCAATTCAACTTCAAAACTGCTTCCCTGCCACTGCTTCCCTCTCCTTGCAAGTTTTCCCCAGGCTTTTCCTTCTTTCCAACCCAAACCTCCCCTCTTTTTCCCCATTCCATCCTGTGTTGTGGCAAAAGTAGAAAAAAGCTTTTAAACTTCACTCAAGATTTTTGCCGTTCACGCTCGGCTCGCAAATTTTTTGACTGTCGCTGCTCGCTTAGTTTTCCTTTTTCCACTATCCGTCAGAATTCCGCACCATGGCAAGCAGAACGAAATATCTGACAATTAGTTTTGAGAAGCATTATAGATGGATTTGTAAGACCCGAGTTGCCGGAGGTCTTAAATCCGATCCTGCTCCTGTGGCTTCTGGATGAAATGAACACCTAGTTCACATTTTTAGGTCAACACAACCGAAAACGTATCTCATTAAGGTAAATGTGAGCAATACTATCATGAATGGTTTAATAATTCTGAGGAAATTCCTCAGCTTGAAATAAAACCAAAGAATTTAGCAGAACAACTTTAAAGGTCGTAGTTTAAATTCTCTTGCAGTCAATTGACTCAGTTGGATATTTTCTAGTTTCACCAAAAAGTTATTAGAAACCAGAAAACTTCACTAAGCTTTAGACTCAAAATTTGATTGCATAATACTTTTACTAAAATTGAAAGACAATTTCCAAGGGTACACAAATGAACTTTACGAAGTATTTGAATCAAACTAAATTTTTATTTTCACAGACAACAGAGAGAATATTTTCTATTTTCTAAAGTCAAGCCAGTTCGTTCTAAATAAATTACAAATCTCACGCCTAATGACTTTATTTCGTTTACCTCAATTTTCTAATGAATTTCTGCTGCAATTTTCCGTTCATTTCCCCCACCGTTCAGCATTCTCATCATTTTCGGGCACGCATTTCGACTGCTTTTTCAACTGGTTCTTCTACTGCCTCGGCTGCTGTCTTTATTTACGACTGTCTCTTTAGGATCGGATGTTCACTGCACAGCAGTGGTCAAGATACTAGCTCCCTTTGACCCCACAAAGTATGGATGTTCATCATCAGGCTCAAAATCTTTGCCACCTTTTCTCTCGAATATCGTTTTTCGCTTTGAGCATTCACATTTTGACCTCAGCTGTTTGTGTACATGTACTTGTGCTTGCGCTGCTTTTCCCCCATCATTTTCTTTCACTTTATTTTGTTGTTGGCCTTTTACTTTGCTGTCCGTGTGTGTGTGTGCCTGTCGTTTTTATAAGTCTGTCAAAATGTAGTTCATATATTTTGGCGAAAATTCATTTTGCAGTTGACATAACTTTGTCAGCCCCAATTTATCAACAACAATTAGTAGAGCAGAGCGGACTCCTCTGACTTGACTGACAACTCTGTGTGAGTGTGTGCGAGTGTGTGGGTGGGCTACAGGAGTGTGTGCGTGTGTGTGTGGCATAGCAAGTATGTGACAAGTATTTTGAACAAAAACTTTGTCTGCCAAACAGAGACTCGCTCGCTCGACTCACTTGACTTTCTGGCCCCGAGAACTTGGAAAACAGCTCGAGAACGAAGACGCATTCGGGGCTGTCTGCATACACGGCGTATGCGTAATATTGTAATGCCAAAATAATGTGCATTTGGAAAATTGCTGTCACCCCACTGATGCGAAACAGCAAAAGCAAAGGCAGCTCCGAAAAGCAGCAGCAGCAGCAACAGCAGCAGCACACATCAATTGTCAAGTGTCAGCTCAGCCAGCTGGCTTATTAAACTACAATTTGCCACCTGAGCTGACAACTCACCTGTACTCGTGCGACATGAAGAAGGTGCCCCGAATCAGACAGCCGTTGGGATTCTTGCGCTTGCCGTCGAAAATCTTCAGGTAATGCTGGTAGTTATTCAGATTCACGGCGCCATCGAAGGTCAGCATAATGATTTGGGGGATCTGCAAGGGGAAGTGGGTGGGGATTAATACTGGGCAAGCTCCTCAAGATTTCTGGTGTATTATAAATGAGGTGATTAGGATAATAACTCACTAAGGCTAATAAATCAAAATCCGTAATGCAGGGATGCAGCAAATATTATTTGCCTAGCAATACCATTTCTTAAGTGGTTTTCAAATTTGTATACAAACATACATACAAACCAAAAAGAGGATTGCTTGATATATAGAAAGATGTATAATTTGAACGAATTTTTATTTCTAAATAATAAAATAAACGCTTTGAAATTGCGAGGAGTCTAGCTTAAGTATTATTCAATAGCAAAAGAAAAACTTTATAAGAGCTTGTTCGTTTTAAGTTATCTTTTACCTACACAACAAATATTATTATATACACACAATAAAAATAATAAATTTAATATATATTATATACACGATACAATATAATATAATGTAATAAATAAGCAAAATATTAAATAAAATATTAAACTCTAAAAACAAGTTGCAGTTATGGATTACAATCTCTTGCCAATAAAACTCCCTTTCTGTCATACATACTACTCATTCAATTGTACAACTATTGTACAAAGTGTGAATACCTCTGCCCGCTTAATCAGTACTTAATCAGTACTTAATCAGTAAGTGAAAACCACCTTTTCGCATCAAAAAAAGGAGGGGGAATCTCTGCAGCTATTTCCCGCAGCAAAAGTGATTGAATCCTTGATCCGCAAGGCAAATCCGTTAATTATATGATTTAGGCGCTGCCTCCGCTGTCTCCGAATAAATATAAGCGCATATAAGCCGCATGAGTGTGGGTGAGCGGGTAAGTGGATGGGAAGGGGGGGGGGGGTGTACATGAGTGGGTGGGCGTTTGTGCCCAATTAGAGGATTGCCGACCTCAAAATCAGCCGGGCATACGATGGCATTGGAGGCCGCAGCAGCGCAGCTCTAATTGAAGGTTTTGCATTTTGCGTTTGTTTTTCCTGTCTGCGTCGCGCCTCGTTGCGCATTTCCCAACCACCTTTGGCCGCCCAGCCACCCAGCCACCCAACCACCCCCCTTCCCCCTTAACCAGCTCCAGCACTAGCCCCACTTTCGGCTTTGGCACAACTTGCAGCTTGAGCATTAAACATAATTAGTGGGCGTGTGGGCAACCGGCGGGGAGAGAGCAACTAGAAACTGGCAAATGGCAACTTGCAACCGGCAAATGGCAACTGGCAACCAATTCACGAAACCAAATTAATTTCAAATAATGCCCGACTATCAATAATGCGAGAGGAGCAACATCACTGCGCCACTGTGAATTCCATTACAAAATTGCCACCCGAAAATATGGACACCGAAATGGGAATCAGCCAAAACCAAAACCAAAACCTAAACCAAAACCAAACCCAAGCCCCCAAAACCAAAGAAGACCCTGCAGTTGCAGCTTCTCCGTTTTTGTTGCACTTGCAGCACTTTAAGTGCAATTCCATAATCAAAGACCGCCGAGTGCAGTCGGAAAAGAATAAGCGAGGGAAAAGTAATAATAATGCTAAAGAAATGACGCCCCACAAAGACAGGGGAAAAACAGTGGCTGCAAATCGCATCAGAACTTGTGGATACTCTGATAAAGTTTATTATTGGACTTGGGGGATTTCAAATGCGGAAAAAGAGAAATCGGATGAAAACCTGTAAACTATTTTATGCAACAGAATTACTCTATACTGTACTCTCTTGAACTCAGACTTGTTTCTCTTGTTTTTCCTAAAATGAGATTTTTAATTTGTTCTGGCTTCCCAATCAACCCTAATTACATGGCCTACAATATAACCTAGTACTCCGATGAAAAACTCTAGTCCGAGGGTGGGGAAAGTGAAAAGTGGAAGCGAAGTGAAACGGTGGCTGCAGCTGAATCGGAAATGCATTTCGCATTTGGTCCGAGATCTGGCCATAAAGGCGGTTGGCTCGGCAGCAGAGACGCACTTAGCGCTCATTGTAGGACACATAAAAAGGATTATTGTACAAATTCAATATTAATGCGGTCGAAGGGAGAATGACTATGACTATTTCCCGAGATGATCACCATGGCCATGCCGATGATGGTGATGATGATGACGATTGAGAATTTTGCACCTAAAAGCTGGGAAAATTATGCAGGGGCGTGAAACACTCGGCGGTCAGTTTACGTGCGGCTTAGATGACAAGTCGGCATTGAATTTGTGCTCCGATTCGACAGCTTTTCACATTCCCCCATCTCCTTTTAGTCTTTTTTCGCGTTTTTCTTCGTTTTTCCCCACTTTTCCGCTATCTTTCCATCCCGTCTTATTGCTTTTCGCTTGGTCGCCGTCTTTATTGAAAGGCATATTTCAAAGGCGCGTTTCCGCAAAATGAGTGCAAATCAACTGCAAAACTTTTCCCTTTCTCGCTGAATTATGAAGTAAAAATATTATTGCAAATATAATGAATGTGCGGGGACGAAAGGGGCGCAGCGGGAAATGGCGCTGAGGCAAATCATAAATTTCAGTCTCGGACCAAGTTTTCGAGGAGAAGGTGAGCAAAAAGTGCGCCATTGTGGGCCGTTTGAACTTTATGCGATTGCCATATTGCTGAATCGCCGATTACCTGTCGTCCAATCCGAATTGCATTTCAAGTTCTCAACCACAAAACTTTCCTGCATTTCCGCATCCAAGTTATGGCCAAGCTGAAGGCTTTGGCCGAATTAATGTTTGCGTTCCACAAATCTATGTGAAATTAGTTTAGCTCCCCACACTCGAATGTGGCTTTTAAGCGGACTTTATTGAATCGAAAAAAATATATTATCGCGAATTAGGCGTTTCCTTAGCAATGAGAGTCCCCTCCAGTTGGGATAGTTAAACCAACTCCAAGAAACTTTACTAACTTTGGGTACAAATTACCAATGCTACAAATCTTAAGACAGCAGTTGCAGAATAAGAAATGATCACATCGATTTCTAGGAACTTTTTTAAATAAATTTTTAACTGTTATATATAATTTAAAATATATTTTGACAACATATTAAAAAATGTTTAGAATAAATTTCTGCATACTCAAAATATTTTCTTCTTTTTCTCACGCTTAATATTTTTTTTTTAGAAAAATACTAAAGCATTTTTAATTTAATTAAAACAAGAAAGGAAGCTAGCTTCGGCAAGCCGAAGCTTATATACCCTTGCAGCCATCAAATATTTCGAACTGAATACACAAAGGCTAAACAACATCGAAGCTACGACGACTTTTCTATTAATTTTCCATATTTTTGACTATTGTTCATATGGCAGCTATATGATATAGCCGTCCGATTTTGATGAAATTTAATTTGTTATTCAAGAGTCGTTAGAAAACTGTATATTCCAAAAATCATGATTTTCTGATGAGAAATAACGATGTTATCATTTTATTTCCGTTAATTCTATATAGATTTTTCGATCTTTCCTATGGCAGCTATATGATATAGTTGTCCGATTTTTATGAAATTTTTTTATAAATCAAGGCTAGTTAAAAAACTTGATACTCAAAAAATCATTGTCGTGTGATGAAAAACAATGACGTTATCAATTAGTTTCCATTAATTCTATATATATATTTTGATCTCTCCTATGGCAGCTATATGATAGAGTTATCCGATTTCGATAAAATTTAAACCGAAATTCAATAGTAGTTATAAAACGCCACCTGGAAGAAATCAACTCGATCTGATCAAAAACAACGGAGTGAGATTTTTTTTTTTCAATCTCTCGTATGGGAGCTATCCGATATAGTCGGCCGATCCGGCTCGTTCCGACTTATATACTGCGTGCAATTACTACACAACTTTTGGGAAAGTTTCAGCACGATAGCTTCAAAACTGAGAGACTAGTTTACATAGAAACAGACAGACGGACAGACGGACAGACGGACCGACGGACCGACGGACAGACGTACACACGGATTTCGATTCAGATCGTGATGCTGATCAAGAATATATATACTTTATAGGGTCTAAGGTGTCTCCTTCACTGCGTTGCAAACTTCTGACTGAAATTATAATACCCTTTGCTCTGCAAGGGTATAAAAATTTAATTAGAAAATATTTAGAATAAATTTCTGCATAATCAAACTATGTTCTTCTTTTTCTCATCCTTAATATTTTTTTTTAGAAAAATACTAATGCATTTTTAATTTAATTAAAAAAATTTAATTAAAAAATATTTAGAATAAATTTCTGCATAATCAAAATATGTTCTTCTTTTTCTCATCCTTAATATTTTTATACCCTTGCAGAGCAAAGGGTATTATAATTTTGGCCAGAAGTTTGCAACGCAGTGAAGGAGGCACCTCAGACCCCATAAAGTATATATATTCTTGATCAGCATCACGATCTGAGTCGAAATACGTCTGTACGTCTGTCCGTCTGTCCGTCTGTCCGTCTGTCTGTCTGTCCGTCTGTCCTCCTGTCCGTTTCTGCCTAAACTAGTCTCTCAGTTTTAAAGCTATCTTGCTGAAACTTTCCCAAAAGATGTGTAGTTATTGCACGCAGTATATAAGTCGGAACGAGCCGGATCGGCCGACTATATCGGATAGCTCCCATACAAGAGGTCAAAAAATAAAGGATAAAAAATTATTACGCAGTTGTTTTTGATCAGATCGACTTGAATTCTTCAAGATGGCGTTTTCTAACGGTTATTAAATTTCGGATTAAATTTTATCAAAATCGAATAACGCTATCATATAGCTGCCATAGGAAAGATCTAAAAATATATATAGAAATAATGGCAAAATAATCATAACGTTGTTGTTTTTTATTCCACGAGCATGATTTTTACAACATCGACTTTATGAACTACCCTTGAACCGAGAAAAAAATTTCATCAAAATCGGACGACTATATCATATAGCTGCCATATGAACAATAGTCGAAAATATGGAAAATTAATAGAAAAGTCGTCATAGCTTCGATGTTGTTAGCCTTTATGTATTTTGTTCGATATGTTTGATGACTGCAAGGGTATATAAGCTTCGGCTTGCCGAAGCTAGCTTCCTTTCTTGTTTTTTAGAAAAATACTAATGCATTTTTAATTTAATTAAAAAAAATAAATGCTCACGAAACCAGATTATATAATAAGGAATTTTCTTTTTTCAAAATTTAAACTTAGGAATTTGACATTCCTAATCAATTTAATTTCTATAACATTTAGCCACTATTCATGTTCAATAGTATTTACAAGTAAAAATGCACATAACTTGCTGCCCAGTATATTTTTCTACAATTTCAGATGTGCGAAATTAGTTTCTTAATAAGTAAATTTATGCAAAAAAGCACATAGTTTAGGAGTGGTAAACTTAAAATGTGCGTAGTACATTTTCAGAGAATAAAAAAATGACTAAAACATAAGGGATTACTTGATTTTGAAATGAAAATAAATACTTGCATGTTTCAATGGTAGAATTAATTTGAAAACACTTGTATGTGTGTGTTTATAAATTGAGGCAAAATACGGCATACAAAAGTGTCGTTTAAAGAGCTCTACTTTATTTCTTAGAAATCTCAAAATATGGAAAACTGGAACAATGTGGCTTGGGCAAATAGTGAATGAAAGTGCTGAAATATTTCCCTTTGCCCTTCTGTGTGCGTTGATAATTTTTGCCTAATGCGACTCAAGTTTGCACTTTAGTCTTTCAGCAAATATGGCAGCCGAGGAGTTGGAGAGCAGGAGCTCCTCGCCCGAGGGTGGCGAAATGCAGAGATGGGTGCTGCTGGGCGGGAAATTGGGGGCCAGAACTTTTCTCCGACGTCAAGGATTGCCAAGTGTTTGGAGGAGATTGGGTGGAAGATGGGAAAAGGGGAAAGGAGAAAGGGGGAGGGGGGTGAATTTGCATAGCTCAGTTGCTCAATCGCAGCGACAATTGAGCGGCTCATTGATTGCACCACCCATTTGCCATTATCCATTTGCCATCAGCTCCGCAGTCTACTCTACTCACCACTTATCCAGCTATTGGGGCATCCACAAACTTTTTGTTGATACTGTGCCATCTTTTCATTTCATTTCATTTCCCCAAATCAAATTCGATTCGCATTCAAATTGAGCAAAAGCGGTTTATTTAAGGCCTCGCCTTGGCCCACTTTTCAACCTTTGCGAGTTGGCCGCGCCATCACATTGATTTATGAAAAAATTAAATGGATTTCGGTTGTATAAATCTGTTTTAACTGCAGTTGCTATAACTTCATTTGGGAAAATCTTCGGTAAATGCTACAATTTTACTTTTTGCCAATTTAGAACTGGAATTCTTTTGCGTTGCTATTGCACAATTATTTATTGCCAATGGCGTTGTATAAATAATATATATTCTTCATTAGTTAATATGAACACGCTTCGTTTTGCACTTCGTCTATTTTTTGCATTGAATGCATTGGTATTTGAATAATAAATTAAGTACACTACACCGTTGATAATAACCATAGTCTATATTGGAAAGTTGAAAGCTTTAAAAAGCTTTTTATAGTTCGGTTGTATGACCAATGACACTGTTTATATACTCACTCCATTAACAAATAATTATTATTAAATGTGAAATCGTTTCGTCTTACACGTCGTCTACTCTTTCTATTTCAGTCTTTGGTATTCGCATAAGAAATTTATTACATCAAAACGTTAACAAAACCAAACTTCGGAATGTTTTAAGCACTTAAATAGTTTTTGTAGGAGTGACTAGTATAATTAGAACGAATCTCACACCAAAATATCGATTTCTAAGTACCTATTCGGTGCTTTGACCAATGACATTGTATATATAAGCACTTCGATAATAAATAATAATTATTAAACGACGTCTCGTGCTTTGGTACTTGCATTATATAATTTCTACACCAAGAGGTATAAAGTTACGTAACTTTTAATTAATCTCGTTTCAAAATATGTATGACCACAAGCCTTTTTGGTGACATAATATTTGTTTAAATATATAAACTATTTATTAAAACCCTTCTCCACGTTACTAAAAGTGAATATAATCGGCATCCAAGCCCCCTCTTCTTGCTATTCACTTTTGTGTGAGTGAGAAGGGAGGGTGGGGCCCAAAAAGGGCCGATAAGCCAAAGCCAAAGCCAAAGCCGAAGCCGAGAAGCCATGGCCCACACGGCGTATGCGCTATGTGTGAACCCAAATCAAAGGAACTTTTTGGCGTGCACAAATTAACCGCTTGTTTGCGGTTAATTGAGATGATATTAATTATAATTATGCCCGCGCGCTCACAAACAGCGCGCACACACACAAACACATAGATAAAGATTCAGTTAGCAAATGGAATTATTTGGGGGCTTCGTTACTGCGAACACATGTAAGCGCTAATAACACTTAAATAAGCACCGACAAACACACACACCCACACCCACACACGCTCTCGCTCACCCACACACTAATGCACGATTGCCGCACACCCACACACAAACACACACACATACAAACATCTACCCACAAACAGGACAAAACGGATGGCAAGGACAAACATACATTTCAATTTCGAAATTAAGTGGCTCACTTGTCTTGTTTGTATTTGAATGCGTGTATTTGTCTGTCTGCATGTGTGTGTGTATCTGCATTGATGCATCCGCGATATTGTGTATGTGTGCGTCGATTTGTTTGTTTGTCTGCGATTTGCGTGTTTGTTGTGTGTATGCATGCACATAAACATTCGCTTTGCCTTCAACATATATTTTTTTTTTTTACCAAGTGATACTCTTCATATCGAGTGTTTCTATCACAAAAAATATTAAAAATGTGAATGGCAAATAAATGTATTGGTTTAACTTTTGTTAAATATTTTTCCATATATTTTGGGTATTTGTTTCTAATTATTTCGAAATATTATCCCACACAAAACTAAATACAACTAAATACAATTCGTTTCTCAACTTTTTCTGTCACTATTCATTATTTTAATTGATGCTTACTAATATTAACATTTTCGTTTTCAGCTGGTACATTTCTTAAAGCCAAATTCCATCAAAGAGCATTTGCGTTTTAAGTTTCATAAATAATTTTCAGAATATCCCTTTATTATTATGCAAGCAAAAACCACAACTAATGTGCATTGCGAACTGTCTATCAATTTGCCAGAAGAGGCCACAAGTCAAAGGGCAAAGGGGTTCGCATGTGCATTAACTGATTTTTCCGTTTGAAGCAGAGGCAAAACTGCAGGAAAAGAATTATTTAACAAGTAATTCAAGCCCACGAGCACAAACGAGTATTCAAAGCAGCTTCTTTGAAATCGAAACAAAGTAAATGGAAACTTAGGTCAAATAAAAACGTTGCAAATCAACAACTTTAAATATACAGATTGTTGTGGGGCAATTTTATGAGTTTTCCGACTCGTTGTTGCCGTGCTATTTACACCATGAGCGCATAACTCTTGGCCAAATAAACAAAGCGTAGTTATTAAACAGGATATTCGAATCAACAGGAACACCAGTAGCAAGAACAAGAGCAACAGCAACAGCAACAGCAACAGCAACAAAAACAATAACTGACAACAATAAAGGAGGATAAAAGCAAAAACAACAGATGGAAAAAGGTACGGAGCACAATTTCCTTATGCAAAGCGACGATAAGAGCAAACCGAATGCAAATACATAGATTTATTGCCTCAGAACACGGAGAAGTGGAATCCAGAGGCGAACTGAGGCGAATCCGTAACCTATATCCCATCCAAAGCGGTGCGATCCACAGCTGCCATAGCCCCACTTCTGTGTCGTAAAAATAAAAGCTGTCAATGCACTGGAAATTTATCGCACTGCAAATTAACACTTAAATGCAAAATGAAAAAACGGACAGCCAACAAGTAGACGACTTCGATTCTACCCAAGCCCGACTGCAAGATGTCCTATACTCGTACGTCGATGGATTTGGTTGGGGCTTATTTTTTCCAGCAATTGCTTTGAAGCATTATTCAAGTTTTTAAAAACGCCGTCAATATATGTTGGAAGAATAGTTCATAAAAAATGTATATTATTATAGTTCAAAAATAAGCAATAACTTGAAAGTAATCTGTTTTTTTTTGTACTGAAATGGCGAAGATTACACGGTCGGAAAATAAAGAAGTACAGGGTGGATTCAAGGGTGGATTTACTTTTTACTGTTGGTAACTCATGTTTCTTTATCACATTGTCAGCATTTTATGTTTGAATATTTTGGAAAATTAAAAAGATATATATATGTATATATTCTGAAGGAATGGTCATATGCCTCGGCTATGAAAACCAGTAACCAGTTCAGTAAAAAGTAAACAGTTTTTAAAACCACTATCTCCTGTGTTTTATTAATCTATCAAAATTGTGAATGCCTCGAAATTGGATCCTTTTTTTGAGTTAGAGTGGACCTGGATCCGTTTTGCAACAAACTTTGATTGCGTCACTAGAATGGTTTCGCTCCAGTTTTCCATCTATTAAATAGTCTTTTATCCTTATTAGATTCGTTAAAATTCAATAATTCAACAATTTTTTTGTTTATATATATTATAATATAATATTATATTATATTGTTAGCTTTTTCTAGTTGACAAAAGTTGTCTACTTAATGCACTGATTTGATTTGAGGATATATTTAATTTTAATTTCATTTTGAACAACCATTTTGAATAACGATTTTTTTTAAATATTCTTCTTCTTAAACATTCTACCTTTAATAGGCAACAGCTCACTTTACCTTCAGAACCCTTTATAACCCTTAATATCCAATTAATTTTTCGCTCCTGTCCGATCATCACAGCAGACTTTTGTAATAGTAGTGGCTGCTTAAGAATATTTTATATATATCTGTATATGTGTTAGGAAGTCGCCACTCAAAAAAAGCATATACCCCTGTAAGCACCTCGGGTGTCTTCACCCAAAACCACCCAACCACCGAACCACTGAGCGGCCGGCGGTGCTTACCTTTTCGGGCTCCAGGTCGCCGGGGATCTGGGTGCCGTCCTTGGAGCAGAAGCAGTAGGGCAGGGCGCAGTCCTCCGTGTTGCAGCGCTGGGCGGTGTCTGCCGGCGCATCCGTGGCAGGGGCGGGTGCTGCAAAAAGGGCGAAAAAGGGGGTTAGAGAGGGAAGAGGGAAGAGAGGGCGCAAATCAGTTTGGAAATTATTTAAAATCTATTTCGTTATGCGGGATCCAATCCCGGTGCTGGGAGGTCAAAAGTCAACAAGTCAGACGGCACAATGCCGGACGAAATGTCAATAAGCAGGCAATCCAAGGCGAGTGTGTTGAGTGTGTGGAGTGTGTGTGTGTGCCAGAAACAAGTTAAAAGAAAGTTAACAACAGTCGGCTGGGCGAAAGGGGATCGAAGTCAAATAACCTTAAGCCAAATCTCAAGCTCCCAAGCTATTCCCCCGCTCTCTCTCTCTCACTCTCTCTACCTCTCCCCTTCTCTCTCTCTCCCTCCCTCTCGAAAGCTATATTTGCATATGTGGGCGGGCAGTGGGCGTGGCATCTGGATGTGATTGCGAGCCGAAACTCAATCGAATTCAATTGCTTTTTTCTCTCCACAGAGCGTCATCCTCATTGGCAATCAGTTGTTCGTTCGTTCTGACTTCTTTTGCTTTGTTTTGTTTGGCTCTGTGTTTTGTTTTGTTTTGCGATCGAGTAAACAAATTCGCTTAAAGTTCGCAAAACAAAAGGTGAGGCCCAGTCGGGGGAGCATGTTTCTGGGCAAATATTAAATGCACAACCGAGTATCCAAGTATCCGGCGGATGCACTAACCGAATTAGCACTTGCCATAGATGTGCCATCGAAACTTGGTTCCCGGGTGTTGATTTGATTTCGATTTCGATTCGAGCTGCAAGTTGACAAGTGTGGCTCGTCGAACCATGTGTTACCGAGATCTTTCTATTCTTTTTTTGAGATACCTAAATTCTGATCAATTATTTGCGACCGGAAATTTCTAATGCTCATTTAATTAATCAATCGATATTAAAATTCAAAATGTGTTCCGCCTTTAAAGTAGTTAACTTCCTTCTGAGAAATGATGTAATCGAGAATAAATTGTGAAGTTCTAGTTTTCCCTTATTCCCGAGGCCACATCATCAATCAATTCGACTCCTCCACCAATTCCTTTCATTATTTTTGCCTTGAGAATATTTTGGCAGAAGCTTGAGCCTCTCTGAAAAAGTGAAGAGTGTTGGACTGTGAGGTGCCTGAAGTTTCCGTTTCGATTAAGCCCTTCGACAATGCTTAAATGGGATTTAATTACACAGCTTCAATGTTATGCAAATGAAAGCCCAATCCGCCAACAAAAACCAATTCCAATATACATACATACATATATACATATATATAAAGCAGGCCCCTGAACTCGACATTGATTTGGTTTTTGCGATGTTTACTCTTTTTTCTAGTGACTTTTGTTCAATATGCTGGGTGTAAAGGCTCTAAATAAAAAACTAATAAACAATATATATGAATGAGCTTCCATGCAGAAGTTTTTTAAATATTAACATAGCATTTCTGATCAGATTGCCGGGCGGAATGGTAAAATAAATAAAAGTAAAACCGGAAAGGAAAACAAAATAAATGCTTGTGGCATATCAATGCCTTTTGAAAAATATTTGTGGTCACATCATAAATAACGGCAATGAAAATGAAATGCTTGGCAATTAATTGGCCAGGACACAAAAACACATACAGGACACACAGGAGAGGACTGCAATCAACATAAATTCTCTGGGGCTGCAAGCCAACCAACCAACCAACCTCTTTGCCAACCGTCCTGTCCTGCTTTCCCAACAAAAAGTAAATGCATAAAATTTTATTATTTCAAAAAGAAACTTCAAGAATTCCCCACTCCTGCTTTCTCTTTCTCTCTCTCTCTCTTTCTCCCTCTCTGACAGTCTCTGTCACACCGAATAGTGGCGTCTCGCTCTAAACTTGTGCAGAGTTATTGAATAAAATGTAATAAACACTTTTAGTAACTTTGTCTTATGCATTTTGTCCTCAGTGGACGGACAGCGATTCACATCTTCGTACACGATGCGTATACGTAATATTTGGCTACTGCCACTCCATCCAGGAATTGTTGTCGTTGCTTCTGTTTGCTGAACAGTAAGCGATTGATAGGGAGAACTGCCAAAAAGGCGAGACTGTTGTATCAACAGAAACCATTTCCGGATATATAGTATTTTTGGGAGAACACTTTGTATTTGAAGGCAGAAAACATTATTTCAAATGTTTGAAAACAACGGAACCCTTGTCTTATCTAATCATACATAAGGTGAAGTCCTTGTTAGTTAATAACGACTTCTTTCTGATCAAGAATATTTATATCTAACTGAAATCATAATGGTATCTGAAGTATTTTCGCTGATAGGGTTTTCCCTGCAAAAGAGTGCTCACTTTCTTGGGAGTGCAGTGCGTTATCGGTTTGGTTTTTGTAACTATTTCTCGCAGCCCTTTTTGTTGTTCGTCTGTGTGTGTGTGTGTGTGTGTGTGTATGTGTGTGCGGGGTGTTACGGGTCTTGTTGTTGTGTAAGCAATATTGAAATGCTGTCATTGAGCGTGCTCACTGAATTATGAAATTGAAAACTATTCAGTGCAAAACATTTTCTTTGAATTTTATCAGCTCAGCTGCGTGGTGGCGTAGTACTCGCATGTGCGTGTGGATGTGGGCGGAAAATCAGCTTGTCATTTCCTTGGACACGCTGCCTGTCAAGCGATCTAACCCTTGTGAACACACAGCTCCCTTTAAAAAAGTGGCTTAAATATTTTAATTCGTGTCTCGCCCTGGCCAAAATCAATTCGAGGCGAGACCAGACGAAACGAAACGAAACGAAACGAAATGAATTCGCATTTATATGCACAATGTATTGCATATATTTTGGGGCCCACACATGCCGCTTTTTCTATTTATTTTGGGGACAACTTGCTGTCACAATTTCAAATTCTGTTAAGACTCGTTGCGTATACGCAATTCGTCAGTTGAGATTTGAGGCAAGTATCTGAGAGGTTTTGAGGGGGGCAGAAGAGTCGTTGGGTTGGCTGAGTTCTGGGGACTGAGCACTGAGGAGTTATGGACGTTGGAGAGGAAGTCTTTCGTCTGGCAGAGCTCTTAATCCTCGGATGGCTTAGGCAGTTGGCAGATGGCTGCAAAATTAAAGTGCCCGACCATTATAGGCAATCAGTTAGTTTGCCCCACTCATTTTGCAGAAATTGCTTAAATTATATAACAGCTCGCATGCACAAACGGCCAGGTGGGATTTAATGGTTGGCAAAATGTGGAAATTGGATGACCGAATGCAAACTAAGTATTTACTTTTAGTTGGCCAGCTCAATCAAAATTAAAATATGTGCATTTGGGTTTGCTTTTTCAGTGGCAAGATTTATTGAGACGCCAATGGAGGAATTCACTTGGTTAATTATTCAAAAGGTGTAACTCTTTTTACAGACATTAGGAAGTCTTTGATTTCGAATCAGGGCTTGTGAATATTTTCAGCGGGGAGTACATAAGCATATCTATGTGTCAGCATAAAAAAACGAGTACAAATTTTTATGCACAGAGCTTTGACCTAATCTCTGCTGCAATATTTCGCTTCGTTCTCCACATCTCAGTATGTGTGTGTGTGTATGTGTGTGTTCGTGTGTGTGGGAAAAAGTAATAACATAAATGACACACACACAGCGAGCTATTTATATGAGACAACATTCCAGTGGGTATTACGCAAATCCCCAAACGCTTTAGCTGTCGCAGCTTTCTTCCAAGCGGTTGCCTCCCAACCAACGACCGTCGACCGACCGACGGACCAACGGACCGACGGACCGGGATCAGCTTCCGTACCCCCCTACCCCCGCACCCCCCATAACCCCCATCCCTCTCTCACCAGTAAACCCCTAAGCCCGTGCTCCCAAGGCCATTATCCTCCCTTTTCCGTAACCGAAAAAGCCGGCGATGTCGCAGTTGCAACCGGAATGGCGACTACTGCAAAAGTGCGTGTTTGCATGTGAGCGATATGTCACTCGGCGTATGTCTGTGTGTCAACCCCCATTTTCCGCCCCCGCCCCCGCCTCCGCCTCCACCTCCCCAACTCCCCTCTTACACTGAACGCTGCGCAGGCAAACCCAGGGATGTACGAAAAAAATTATTGGAATTTCTTATACCTTCTTTAAGCCTTCATAAAAAATGAAAAAAATACAAACAAAAAAACCAAGTTCGACTTTTCATATCAAAAATATTGATACAATTACCCAAAATCAACTTTATAATATGTATATAATTTTATATAATGATAACTTTCTTTAAATTTACATTCTTAGTCGCATGAAACAATCGGAAACATGTTTACAGATCATCAAGATTGTTAAATAAAATACAAATACACTTGTAATGCTATACAATAAAAATAATTGCTTATTAAATTGATTCAATGTTTTCTAGTGTAAATTATCTTGTCACACTAATTCAATTCAATCAAATCATTTTAGATTTTTTTGATTTGGAATTATAAGACGAATCCAATGCTTCACAAACGCATATTTAAGTTTGAGTTTATTTTTAAACTAATCATTTATTAATGACCAAATATTTTATTAATATTCAAATAAAAGTGAGAGGCACTGGTATGCCAAAATGCAATTTCCCGAGTGTATGCTAAAATAAAAGGAGAAAGGGGCAAAATGCTTTCCAGCTCTGTAGGTGCACGATGCAAAAGTCCGAGTCTGAAGCTGAGGCTGCCGTAAAACTGAAAACTAAATCTTAAATGTAAGCTTTAATGGCCCACACACACATCCATAGATGCGGTCAAGATTGTGGAACTTTGAATGGCTTACAATAACTTACAGACTCGGAAGCAGTTTTCGAAAAAATTATTATTACAATTAGTTTTAAATACATTGTGTTTTTGTAAAGACAATGAGATTTGAAATACCCATTCAACTAGTTCGACTGAAATCTTTATAGTTATTAATTTTGTACAACTATATTTCTTGAACTTAATCCTGCATTTAGTTAAAAAAACAGGATAAGAGCAGAATACATTTCGATCCTATTTTTGTGGTCCGGAGTGTATAGATAACGGGAGGAGAAAGACAGACTTGGTTATTCTTAAGCGGTCGCGTTTGTGCCCCATTTGAAGTGCACTCAATGTTGTGGGAGGTCGGGTGGAGTGCCAAAGTACTTGGCATTCATCTTGGCAATGGCTCAACCGCCGCCACACCCCCTTTCTCTTTCTCTTTCTCTTCCCCTTCCCCCGCCCTGTCTCCCCTCCCTCACCCCCTTTATGCCATCGGCAAGGTGGCCCTCTGGGCAGCGTCGTTAGGCAAGTCAATAGAGCGGACAATGTTTGGAATTGTGTCCCCGGAGTGGTGGCCACCATTTGGTCATTGCTTTTGTCAATGACTACATTTCGATTTCAATTTTGGTTACGTTTCAGTTTGGTTTTGGCCAGCACAAACACCCGAACACGTTCTGTGACCATAAATGAATTATGCGACATTTACTCAAAATTGCTTCCTAATGCAGAGCATCCGGCCTGAGAAAAGTTCCCGTTCCTGCAAAGAAAACATTACGAATGGGAATGGCCATGTATCCTGGTTCAACGCTATCGATTTGGAAGGAGAAGTTTCAACTTTTGTTTTATATGTCGCTTAGCCTCCATTAACTTGGTAATTGTTTATGTCTTGTATCCTATTTATGTACATATAAATGCTACTTTGTATTTTTTGAATTAGTTTTGTTCAGCAAAAAATGATTCTATGTCATGAAATTTCTGACACTTTTTTAAGCAGCTCCATCTATAAAATGGTGCTCTATTTTCTTACTCTTTTGTAAGACTTTTGCGAAAATCGTTTAAAAACGTTCCTGACTTCGAAAGTTTATGGAAAACTAAATTAAAAATTTTAAAAAATATTTACATTGTCTGTCATATTTAAACAATTCCCTGACCAATTTCCCCAAGCATAAGCATGTAATGCTTATGGATATTATAGTACAGAGTTATAGACATCGAAACCGTAAACTGTGAATAATGCTTCATGGCATATTAAGTTGAGAGTTTTAAAAACTATTCATCTGCGAGTTTGCTTTATTATTTGTATACCCATCCCCTATATGAAGCATACTATAATTTTGTAGATTCCCAGATTTGGCCCCTCGATTGTCCCGGTTCAAAGTTCGCTCTATATTCGCAATCAGTTTTTTCGGTATGGGCTTTTGTGTCGTCCTTTGCAAAACTTAAAATCGTTTAGCAGCCAGACAGTCAGATTGTGGGAAAAACCTGGCCGAAGGAATGGTGGCCACACTTAGAGTGCACTTACAGTTTTTACCACATTTTCTTTGTTCGCCCTGATTTATGTTGCACTTTCTTTCCCGTTCTGGCTGGGATTGCGAGACTTTTCTAATCACTTACTTGTTGGTAGAGGACCGCACTTGGCCTCATCCTTGAATGTGCAGAACTTCTGCACGTCATCGAAGAAAAGTCCGGATGGACAGCGGTTCAAATACGGATATCCGTCGACGCACTATGAGTTGGGGTGTGCAAACGGGTTAGGGCCATAAAACATATTTAGTATTGTTCCCCTTTTTAGGGCGGAACTTACCTGGTAAAAACGACGACAGGTCGCCGGATCGGCGTAGTTACCATTGGCAATATGCGAGGGGCACTGGAACTCCTCCTTCTCCTTTCCCTGGCCTATAAGAGTTCAAGAAAATGCGAAGGGTTTCATTTAAAATAAGTTCAAAGCAGGCCTTCATACTTTTCATTTAAGTTCTTTGGAAAATAGATTTATTTGCAAAGGCTTTTGTGCGTACTAAAGTGCATTGCTTGTTTAAATAAGTAATAAAGAAACTGAGTCAATATTGAATAAATAACTAAAAATGTTATATAAAACATAGAGCACTGAATTTGTCCTTTTTTAAACAATTCTAAGCAGTTTTTGTTTTACTAACACTATAAAGTTTGTTCACACAAAACTAATTTCGTAAGGGATTGTGTTTACGTGTATGAGGGTAAAACAAAAGTTCGGTAAACAATCTCGATAACTTTTTCTATCGCAAATGAGGCACCTAATTTTTAATTTGATGCAACCATGAAGACTGAGTCTGTGTGTTGGAAAACGCTTTATTTTCCCCTTGCTAATTTCATCAATAGCTTATTATAAAAAACTTAGGGTGGTATGCTTCTCATTAAGCTTTAAAATTTTTATTGTGACTAATACATTTGCTCTAAGTCTATCAACTAAAAGTTTTTTAAAAAAGTTCCACACGTCTACACGTTCAAATTATTTTTTTGTATTGTCTTTTTTGCAGTTTCTCACTTGCTTAATTAATTTTATTTTATTAAAAAATTTACTGAAATAGCATTTTTTTCGAACAATTAAAGAGCGATGCTTGGTACTATATTTATTCAAAGGGTTTTGTTTAATGTTTTTTTTTTGTTGTTGCCTGGGAAAAGATCATTGTTAAGACCACTTATCCTTAAATTACCGGTAGAATTTTAAAATTTATTCGTTTATATGAATTTTCTTTACCCGAAAATAAATCAAACTGCCACAAAATTCATGTCAAATTGAAATATGTAACCATCTATGAAACGGATTTTCCAGTAGCATAAGCAATTCAATTTACTAGTAAATATAACGATTTCATGAACCACTGGAATTAAAATCTTAACCAAAGAGTTGAGTTGCATGCTGAATTTAAATATCCGGCAATTAATTTCATAATAGACATTAAACTTTATGTGCACGAGCATGTAACTAACAGATTTATATATTCATGTTGGAATGAACTGCAGGATAAATACAAATTATAATCGCTTAATGTATATTTATGATGATTTCGCAACCTGAATATTTCTTTTTTATTTATTTTGTTTTAAAAGCCAAATCTAAGCTGAAAAGGCTTGGCCGCCTGACATTAATGAAAACCCACAGAAATGGGATGGGAAATGGCAAGTGAAATAAATAAATAAATAAATAACAAATTAATTAAATGCCGATATACTTTTGAATAAAGTGGCAAAAAATGCGAGGATAACTATGATAATGAAATTATTTTACAAAACAAACTTGCAATCCATCGCCATTTAGTTGCGGCCCAGGACAAGTTCAAATATAACGAATATAAATTGGCTAACTGCATTAGTTAATAAAGGCCTAAAACAACAGGAAGCAGAAGCTCAAACCAGTTCTCACTTCCGTTTCTAATCCCTTTTTGGCCCAAAATGTTTGGTTGTTGGGGGGAAATCGATGAGATCTAGCTGCCATTATAATTACGCGGACTACGCCCACTTTACCGGTTGACTGCCGCTCAAATTATTCATAAAACATATCCACTTTCGGACTAAATGTTAATTAAATGAAAACTATTATTGAACACAATTGCATTACGTACACGCGCATTCCCCATTATAATTATAAGCATTTGTCAGTTGTATGATTTTTTATTTTTGCCGCGCCACTAAAATGGCAATTAATTGATAGCTTAGACCAAGAACCGAAAACAACAAAATTGAATTGAATAGTTGATAACTATACAGTGCTCCTAGACAATTAAATTGAGCTGGGTATTAGCCTTATCGCTCTCTAAAAGGCTCTATACTTTCAGATAAATTAAAATTATATAGCCTGCGGCTTATTGTTTTTTATGTTATATTTCTATAACTATAACTATTATGTTGTTTCTATATTTCATGTAAATATAAATAAAAACAAAACTATAATCAATTAATTTAATAAAAGAAATTGAATTGTATCTTGTTGCTTTTGTATTCTTTTTTATTCGTCTGCAAAACGAAAACTTTAAGTGGTTCATCCAAAGTTGACTTAAATTTTTAATTATTTTCCTGCTTTTGTTGAAGGTACAAGATTCATTAAAATTCATGAAATGCTATGCGGCACAAGTTTTGCCAAGGGACATGCAAGATAAAAACGACTTTTGAGCAATTCTTGGTCATGTTTTTGTTATTTTACTTTGTTAATTTATTTTGAGGACATTGGTTTTTTATGGGTTACTTCCATTACTATTTTGTGTTCAATATGTGGGTACACTCATCATTAAATTTGCTCAAGTAAAATAAAAGCGTATCCTTTATTTTCCAGTTGGGATCAGGGAAAGAGATATCATTCAATAAATTGTGTTTTATAAAGAGTATTTACTCGACTCCTCTTTCCGATGCTATATAATTTGATCCGCCCTGAATAAAGTGAACTTTCGCAACCGGAGCCAAAGTGCACCTTAAAAAATGTGGGAATTTTTTTCATTGGGTTGGGCCTTAAAAACTGCACCCTCTTTTCAACCTTTTTTACTTTTGGCATTCCATGTTGCTGCTTTATTTCCGCTATGTTATTTGTTATTTATTTTTGTCATACATATTTTATTTGGATTTCATATTTGCAACCATTTTTATTGCTGTGCGATTTTTGATAGCGATTTACAATAAGTGAGAAACTTTAAATAGGACCGCTTAAATTTTATCAAATGAAAGCAGCTTTTATGTACTAACATGGTAATATTTTGCTAAAATGTGAGTGTTGGTGTTTGGTCAATTTATGGTTATTGATGTGTATAGCTATCCAACAAAATTAGCGACCGCAGTGCGGCGAAAAAAGCAACAAAATATTCAGTTAATTTACTATAAATGGAATGTGTAAAGTAAACAAAGCAATGCCAGAATTAAATCAGATGCAAATGTTTTGCCAAAAGAATAGCAAAAATAATGGAGCAGTGGGAAGCTGTGCAAAAACCATTTTCATATTATTATTATGGCTTATTAATATTTATTAACTAGTCCGACTCCATGTCCCTGTCCATAAACACTGGCCAAGTCACTGGCAGGAGGCCAGAAGTCATGGCTAATGAGGCATCGTGCTCTAAGCGGCTTAATTCCCCGCTTCCCTTTTCCCTTCCCTTTCCCTCAAGCGAAAGGGATTCTTGAATTCTTGAGTGGAACAATTCGACTTGTGGGCGGAGCCACTGAAAAGTTGAACAGTACGCAACTCCTTGCAGGCAATTGCACCCGACTGCGAGTATTGTGCAGAATTCCTTAAGTGAATGCCTGGATAACAGAATAAACACTTCAACGAAGTGTCTCTTACATGGCAATATTTTACGAAATCCTAAGTTTTATCATCTTTTTATTTAACTCTATTGCAACAAGGGATTCGTGAGAATCGAATAGTGTTGCTTAAACGGATTATTTTTGGTATCCTTAAACATTTTATTTTATAGAATTGTATAAAACACGGTAGCTTAAATGCCATTTATTGATCTTTCAGTTACATTTTAAAGAATTTGTTTAATATAATAATAATGAAGACCTTTTAGTATTGTTGTATTTGCTTAAAGAACACATCTTATAGACAATGTTAAGATTGTAAAGGCCTTTTAAAAACCTTTAGGTTTAAAAAATTTACATCCAATAAAATTAAGCCATGAGCCATTCTTTATGGGCACGTCGAAGTAAAAACCGAAAAATAATAATAGTGAATTTATCGCACATTTATTTAAAAGTCATGAGGCCAATTACATGAAACTCCGCTTGTTATTTTTTGCCCTTAATTAAGAAATTGCCAATGCGGAAAATAATAATTAAAAATAAGCCGCCGAGAACCGTAACGCTCAAAAGAATACACTTGCCTCTCTCCACCTCACTGTTTCCTCTGTCTCGCTGTGGAGAAATTAAATGTGCCCGGGAAAATAAATAAAATTGAGGAACAAAAAACGGGGAAAACCTGGCAAAGGGCTGCAAAAATCTTTATTTTATGGACATCATGAAATATATTTCCCGTTTTTTTTCATGTTTCATTTTTCTGTGAATTTGTGTTTTTTTCTCTTAAGTTTTTCCCTGGCACTTTGTTTACTTCTGTTTTTGCTTAACCGTAACCGAAACTTTGTTATGTTTTTACAAAATTTTAGGGTACATGTTTTACTGGTTGCTTTTTTGCCTAAGCGCAAACATGAAGTTTATATCAATATAATGAATAATTTGTTTATGACAATAACGTTGCACTTTTTTTTTAAATTATAAATTACATTTCTATTTACTGTTCTGTATCTAAATTCTTTTCTTCAAAAGTTTGTAAGCTTAATATAGAATTTAATTCAAATTTCATCGGGCAGGATATATGCCTCAAAAGTGCATAAAAAAAGTTTTTAAATCCTAAAATTCCATATTTAAGCATTTATTTTTTAAAATAGTAGGGCTATATATTTTACCTTTGGAAGCTTTATTAAATGTTCGTCCCATCTAAACAAGGATAAGTTTGTATCTTCGAAGCCCCAATTTAATATTAATACCAAAATTTGTTTAAAGCACTGAAGCGGAGTGTTTCTGGCAGAAGTTTGTAACCCAGTGTACGAGTTACTTTTAATTTCAAAAAGTATATATAATATTTTTATATTATCACACAAGTATGTGGATACAAATGTATATATGGGAACGTCACATTAAGAAGACCTCTGACATGGTTTTTGAAAAAATGTTGTTGTTTATTGAAACTGTATCCATTTTTATTGTACCTTTAAGAGCTGGGTAAAAATATTAAACGTTTAAAATATTTATTAATGACAAAAATTTTTTTTAGGGTTTTTGCTATTCAATCTTTGTGTTTAATTTACAAGTTTGTTTCAAGCCGATTTTTAATTTAAACTGTATACATCTTTGGTACGGTAAAATACATGATATTGAATGAAATACATGATAATTAATCATTAATTGTTTTAAGTTTCTGCTAGTTAAGTTCCGTGATTTAAATAAGAATAAAACAATTATTTATAGGTTTTTGTGTAACAAAAGATTCTTCTGGGGTAATTGGCTTATGTGCTCCAAAAGTATAGTTTTCCCTTCGCTGACACACTTCGATTCAGTTGTTTATTTACGGATATTCACTTAACACATTTCACATTCGCCTCGCCCTGTCTCTTTCCTTCTTTTGCAATCGCTGTCTCTTTCGTGCGCATCTGTTTTTATTTTTTATTTGGTAAAGCGTTTTCGGTTGTTATTTGTTGTTGTTTATCCGCTGGTATTTTCAAGTAATTTTTCACGCATTTCTGTGGCTGCTTTGCGCCTCATTTTTCACGCCTGTCCATGCGTTTGTCTGCAAGTGTATGTAAGTGTCTGTGTGTGTGTGAGTGTGCTTGTAGCTGTGTGCGTTTGTATTTGTGCTGTTAAGCTGCTTAAATGTTTTTGTCGCTTCCTTTTGCAACATTTGCCATTTTCGCGCAGCGTGCGTGTGTTTCAGTTGCTGCTTCTCTGCATTTACAACACTTAAATTGTAAATAATGCCGATTTGGTTAGCTCAGTGGGAAAGAGAAAGAGAGATGCAGGGGCGTGAGGGGGCGTGCGGGGAGGGAAAACCTCAGTGTTCACTTTTCGAGTGTGTAATGGCCAAAGCCACTTGCCTTTGTCAACAAATTTGCGTTTAAATGGCTCATGTGCCCGCTGCTTTCCCCCTTTTCCAACCTACTTTTTCCGCCCACCAATTTGTTTTAATGTATTTTTAAATTATGTTGATTTCGTTTTCTTTAAGTCGGCCTCACAAAAAATACATTAAATGCCACGAGTGGTAAGGATATTTTTCGTGGCTTAAGGAAGCGCGGGTCAGGAAATTTCAATTATATGAATGTGTCGCGCTGGAGAGTGAAAAATTCCTTTTTCCCTTATTGGCTCTTTCTTTAGGATAATAAGATTGACATTCTCTTTAAATCAGAGCTACATTCTCCAAAACGAAATTATTTTATGAAAGTGATTATATGGTAATATAATAGCAGTCGTAATGGTAAACTTCAATTAAGTAGAGCTCATAAAAACTATAATTTTTGTGGCTTGTGTTAAACTTTACTCAACTGACTATTGCAAATCACAACAATCGAAAGCTTACATTTTTTTGCCATACTAAAAGCATTTATCCATTTAATAAAAAAAACTGACCATTCATAAAAAATTTGCCGATAAATGCGCCCTTTCCTGTTTTGTTCAAAAATGTGTCGAAATTAAATGGTCGAGTCTCCAAGCGAGGCGTTCAATAAAAAGTTTCATCCATTCAAAACTAGACATCTAATAGAGAACGTCAGCAGCGAAATGAGCTCCTGTGTTAAAAACGCTTTCACTATGTTTATATCATTTCTTTTTAAAGGATTTCGGCAAACAAGCAAAAAGGCACCGCAAAAAAGCCCGTTAATATATATTTTTCCACTTGTGCAATCGCACGCTGATGAAATGAAAGTATTTTTTTTGTTTTTTGTTAAGCTTTTTGGCAGATTTTTCATCACACACCAAAAGCAATTATGCAACGAGCTTGGCGATGGCCAACAAATAAAAGAAAAAGTAAAATCAATGTCACAATCAAGTTGCATAAATGAAGCTCAGCATCTGCTGCGAGCTCTCAAAAAGTAAAAAATAAATAAAATCGATTGGCATTTCCAATTCCCGTTGGTTTTACCGCTTTTTCTTACATTTTACATTTACGTTTACATAATTTAGGCAATATGAACCGTTTTCGAAACAAGTTTTCCACCGCCCGTCGAGCACCAAATAAAGTGAAATCGAAAGAAGAAACTCCTCGAATGATTGTTTGACTGAGAAAACATATAAATAAAGGCATCTAAGCAATAAATGTATAAATAAAAGCAGTTGAGCATCTGGGCAAAATTAAGCGAAAGTTGACCATGAAATCTGTGCAGAAAAGACTCGTCAGAATTTGCATATTCATGAAGTTCATCTCGCAGATATTTCCGATATGTGAACTACACGACAAAAAACGTGTCTTCGAACCGGATTAAACGACTATTAAATTAATGAGTTTAATTGAATTTGACAAGCTATTTTTTCACAACATTTGTATTGAAATACTTTTTTTTCAAAGCAGAATCGGTTTTTATATATTTAAAATACTATAGGTTTATAGATCAACAAGAAGTATATATATTTATTTTTTGTGCTTTGAAGTAATTTTTTGCTTGACAGAAACTGTATTATTTTAATTATTTTTGTCGCTTTAACCAAGCGAGTTTTTTTTTTTTGTTTAGACAATAATTTGAAAGATGCGTTCCAAGAGGTGTAAATTATTTTTTCAGCGATTCTGTTAAAACGGTGTAAGTTTTTTCTTGCCGTGTATGTAAATGTATGCCGACGGCTGGCTTTCTGGATGAATTGTTTATTAGCATGGGCGACTAACCAAGCGAGATTTGCAAAAGTTGCCGCTAATCAAGTTGGAGGTCAGTTCGGCAGTCGTTGGCTGTCGGTTGGCAGTCTTTTTGTTACGCAACTGGGAAGCGTGGAGTGGTGTGGAGTGGCCCGAAACTGGATGCCCAGCCATACAACCAGTTTCCCGACAGGACAGCTGACCTTGCGAGCCGACAGGGTGAAAACCAGTTGGGAAACCGCTGACAGTGTTACCTAATTCGTACAGGAAGCGAGCTCGCGACTTTAGGCAGTCAGTTTTTCATTTTCCAGCACTCGAACGAACAACCGAACAAATACTCAGGAAGAGACTCTTGGTTTCTTTCACTCGCACGAAAAGCACAGAAACAAAAATAGCAAAAAAACATACTGGTATATATCTTTTGGACTTATATACTTATATATGGCGAATGCGGAAGCGATATTTATCACTGTATCGGATTGGATTGGATCGGTCGACGATGGCCACAAACTTACCATTTACACCAGCTGCCACCAGCAGCACGGCCAGCAGACTCAGCCGCAACATCTTCACTTTGGATACGTGTACGGACGAGCTAATCCCGGATCCGGATCGAGGTGTTTGGAGAGTGTGTGCGAGAGGGGAGATCGAAGCGGCGAGTAGAGCGAGACGTCCGCAACGCGCAAGTGCAAACCGCCAACTGATCGAGACCCGCGCCCGAGAAATTGCAAGAAGCCAACGCGACTCAACTCTCCATCGCCGGTCGGGCCCAAATCACTCGGTCGGTCGGTCGGTCGATCGGTCGATCGTGGCCAACTTTGACGGGAGCTCGGCGGAGGGGAGCGGGTGGGAAAAGGTCGGAAAAAGCCAGACCATGCCAGCGACATCTTTCGAAAAAGGTTAGCCAAATACCATAATAATGATTGCAATATAACCGAATTACCGGTAAAGATTTGCAAATGAATTTCGCATTGCAATGGGAGTTTGTCATTTGCAATTGGAACGTTAAGTCGGTTTTGCGATCACAAAGTGGGTCGTTCTAAGTAAGTTAATTGGAACTACATTTAGTCTTTAGCTTTTAATACTTAGTTTTGCTAATTGGATGCATTTTAAGTGCACCAGTGCTACCCGAATAAATAAGTTCTAGAAATAATGTGATATACAATTTATAGGTTAATATTTTGTTTAGAAACATCATTAAAGTGTTGGGAATTTTGGCACTTGGCACTTTGGCACCTACGAAAAAGTGCATTTGCTGATGAAGGGGCTTCTCCAACAGCTTTTTCTGATTTCCGTGATTTTTATCCCACCAGAAGAGCAGCCCTGATATTATATTTGAGCACTAGGGTGCGGGCCTCTAAGACGATCGTGAGCTCCATTGTTCGCTCGCTCAGCAAACAATCTCAGTCTCGATCTCAATTCACTTTCGTTTGAACTGGTTGGCGGATGATTCAACTCGACTCAGGCTTATTCGATCGGTTTCGAGTGGAATCGAGAAACAAAAGCCGGTTTTCGGCAGCGGGGCGGTCTGCGCATGCGTGCGCATTTTAATAAGTCCGCGGGCGGAACAATGTGATTGTGATTGTGGATGTGGCGGCGACTGGGACCGCCGACTCGGCATTATGCATATTGGCCATCCTATTATGCTGGCCATCCATATGCATGACAGCCAATGGCCTATTCGGCCCAATCAGCCGCCGACGGCTATCGAACAAGTTCTCGGTCTCTTCGATTTTCGACCTCGTTCGCATACTAATCGAATGCTAATCGCAGGTTACAGTTATCAGATATACTATATATACATAGAAGAGCTCCCAGGAAAATAATAAATCCAAGTCACATCAGCGGGGGCGAGAGAACAGAATATATATGCAGGCATTGCCAGAAAAGTTGCATCATTAAAACTCCAAAGTCGTACACCCAAAAATATAAATTAAAAGAATGTTACCGAGACTGAAATCATCAAGCTACTTTGAATATTTTTAACTTTATTTCGTTTCTTTTTAATATGTTTGATTGAAAACTTAAAATGCTGTCATCCGAATTGAATAAAAGTAGCAATATAAATACATTGTATTAAATAAAACCCTGAACATTTGTCGATTTAAAATAATATGAAAACTTTTATATTTTTTATATTAATTCATTTTTAAACATGAAAAGTATTTAGATAAGAAGTACCTATTGGCTTATTAATTTGCAGCTTAATAATAAGCAGTTAGAATTTATAAATTAGAAATTGACAATTCAAACAACAATTTTTTTTGTATTAAATAAAACCCTAAACATTTGACGATTCAAAAGAATAATTTAATTTTATTATTATTATTTTGATAAGTTTTCATACTTTTATATTTTTTATATTAATTCATTTTAATATTTGACATGAAAACTATTTAGATAAGAAGTACCTATTGGTTGATTAATTTGCAGCTTAATAATAAGCAGTTAGAATTTATAAATTAGAAATTGACAATTCAAACAACAATTTTTTCGCAGTTGATTACTTGAATGGCTTCATTGTGTCTAGGTGCACAAGTGAAGGGCAATTATCTCGATTCGATTCTCGATTCTTGGTAACATTTCGATGCCAGACTTTCTGAGAAAGACAAACCAGTTAACCTACTGCTAATTAATGTATTTAAGCTTGCAAAAGACAAAACAAGAAGCGGCGATAGATTCGACCGATTTAGCTGGCCTTTGCGGTTAAAACAAAAATTTTCGAGTCATTTATAAATATTTTGTAAAATATTTGGTGTTCTATGGTCGTTTAAATTAATCAATATTAGTTTTAGCGTAAGCTATTTATCTATAAAACCACAAAGGACGTCAACAATTTCCCATTTGTAGAGTTTTCCAACGACTTTTGAATTACAACTACAGCTGCCATAGAAAAATGTATGTAAAAGTAGTGGAAACTAAATTAGAACGTCGTTGTTTCTCATCATGTCAACATATTATTTTTAGTATTGAGCTTTTTAAGACACTTGAACACTCGTAAATTAATATTTTTAAAACTTATATGATAAATAAAGTTTTGTGTTTATTATTTTGCGTTCGAAATGAACCCCATTTGTTTATGGTTTTCTTCTTTGTTCAAATACAGGAATGTAAATTGGAATATTTTTTCTTTTCGTCCCAAAAAGAGTTTAAATTAAATTCAACCGATGTAAAACATTTTATATTTTATTTGTATAATCCATATATTGAAAGCCAATTTTCGAACGAAGAGAAAGTATTTAGCTTGGGGGATCTAAAAAAAATGAAGATTACATGTAAATATGTGAAAAAGTTGTTTCATGGATGTTTTGGGACTGGTTGAATTTAAATTTGGTTTTCGGTACAATTATGTGCATTTTTTGTTGGCTCTTGAAAACTATTTCTGAGAGTGGGACCCATTCATGTTTTTACTCCAGCTTCCTCACACCTACTGTCACAAAAAGTTTTGTTTTACTTTTTATGAATATTCAGACACACATTGAAGCCCTCTGACTTGCGTTCCATAGTTATGAGGCCAATAAACACTGGTTTTTTTGATTTATATATCTTGTAGGTATTTCTTATAACCTATGGTATGTAGATAAACAACATTTTATTTACGCAAACGGCACACATTTAAATATTACGATTAACCGCAAGTTTCGCCTTACAGTTTCGTCTGGGGCTGTGCATGCGTATGGGCAACGAACAATTTTTGGCCATTTAAACCAATAAATATGTAAATTTTTCATAAATTTAATTAAATTCACTCACAAAGAGCTGCGTCGCCACTAACTGCAGCGAAAGTTGTGGCCCGCCCCCATTTTCCTATCCCGAGGCCGAGGCCGAGGCAAAATGGAATGGAGAAGAAATGGAAAAGTGTTTTTGCGGAGATCCATGGCTGAGTAGTTTCAGTGAATGCAAAGAACAAAGTTGGAAAATGTATGCAAATATCTATCGCAGGCGTCGAGTTGAGCGGATCCCGCTTTTTGAGTTCCGAGGCCGCAGGTGCCAGATGGTTGATGGTTGATGGTAGATGGCTGATGGATGGGAAAGGCGAAAAGGACGAACGGACTAGCAATCGGATGGAAAGGCGCCAGGCGTTCAGAAGAAGTCACAGCAACACTACTAAATAGGCAATAGGTTTCTATCTTAAGTTATTAGAAATGGGTTTAGGGTTTTTGGTTTTTTAATACAACCAAAATAATATGGAAAGCGTAGGATAATGCTAAAATACTCTTCAAATCGAATTTCATTTTCTTATTGGGGTTGTGGTTAATTTAACCTAAGATTATACAAGAAAGTACAGTCGAATCCCGATAATTCGTACCCCGCTAAATCGAAAATCGAGATAATTCGTAAAAAATTCTGTTCCCTTGAAAAGAAATCCCTTGAAAAAAATCTCGATAAATCGAATTCCCGTCTAATTCGCAAGAAAAGTGATCCCCTTGCCATTTCGAATTATCGGGACTCGACTGTACTTCCTTGTTTAATCTTAGGTTAAATTACGCTTAAAAATAAAGATATTTTATTATATTGTAACCTTTCATCATAAGTCCAATAGGAAAGATTATAGATTTTTTATAGAACAAAAGCCATTGCCTCGCCGTTATTAAACATACATGCATGCAAAATTTCACAAAATTTCACTTTATTCATTTCTACGTTAATAACCAATGTACTAACTAATTTTGTACTTTTAGGCCAAATATATTTTGTGATCAAGTCGTAACATAGATTTATATATTGTGGGAACCGAAAGAGTGCCCAAAGCCAATTTATAATTTGATAATTAAAGGTCGAAAGGACTTTGAATTGAAATAGTTGTTACACTGTCTTACATTCAGTTTTATTATTTAAAAACTGAATAATAATTTAAACAAAACAAAAATAATCAAGAAGTACTGCAAACACAAAACCAATTTGCAATTTATTATAAATTTCTTATCGTGTGTTCCGGAGTGTGGGGCATAAGTTACGAAAGTATTTTTCCCGACGATTCCGATGATAAATGAGAATTGTCAGGGAGTTGAACGCTTTTGACTGACAAAGGAGCTGCCAAGAAGCGGATGAACTTCCATAGTTTTGTTTATGCCAGCGAACAACAAAAGGCGATTTAATGTAAGTGAGCGGGAGTGGAAGTTAAAATAAACTTAGGGGACAAATAGCTGTTTAGTATAACAAAGGGTTACTGGAAACCGAAGGATTTTTGACTGTACTCCACAAGCACTTGTTCAATTTTCCAGCAAATTGGTTTTGTTTTTTTCGTTAAGTCCGCAGATAACATCAAGAGCAATTATGACTTGTTTAACAACAATTTTTCATTTCATTTGCTTAAATTTATATTTTATATTTTGCAATAACAGTTTTGTTTGGGTTGAGTAATCTTGCGTGTATTTATAAAGTAAATATTTTTGGATTTTATCTTTGTTGGAAAACTAAACAGAATTGAAGTACACCAAATTTTGGAACAACAACCATGATAAATACCGAATTGATAGTCCTTTCAAATAAATAAGTACACCCTTTTAAAAATTCTCTTAACTGAAAAGTAATAGGCTTGCTTTTTCGAAAAGTAAAATATATCCACAAATAAACTGCCATGATTTTGTTTGCCTATTGAAAAAAGCGAAAACAGAATAAACTATGGCGTAAAAAATCCTTTGTAAGTGATTGCAGTGCATCTTGATTAGCCGAGCTCATGGCTACACCTAAAATAAAAATTAGTATAGT